AAAAACAAAAAAAAAAAAACAAAAAAAACAAAAAGCAAAAAAACAAAAAAAATCAAAAGAAACATGAATTCGGCTTTGAGTTTATATGGCGGGATATAAAAAAGATTTTTCGTTCGACACACACTCGCACGCACAACCCCATGACACAACTCCCTTCTCTCTCTCTCTCTCTCTCTCTCTCTCTCTATATATATATATATATATATATAGATAGATATAGATATATAGATATAGATAGAGAAATATTAACGTAGGTTTATCAATAAATTCACACGAAAATGTTGAAAAGAAAATCATTTTGTGCGATAAATATTAATATTTTAACTTAACGTTCTTTGTCAATGCACTTAATTTTGTGGTGATATTAATAACACACATCAAACAGTATACAATAACAACTCCAGATAAAAAAATTCAGCTAACGACCAAATTCAAGAAGGCTATGGACTTATTGATCTTCTCTCGTATATGATTCGCGATGAATCAATAGTTAAAAAAAATTTATTCTGCCATCCATTATTATTTTGCGGGTGGGGCTGAATTCTAGATAGACGTATCACGGTTGGCAAACTGGACAAAGGCTAAATTACACTTTGTATATGACACAGAAGTATGCAAATTCATAGGTATATATAATCAATAAATTCACAAATATGTAAATTGTCCACTTAATAATAAATGCTTAACCAATAACATAATATACAAAGCCATCCTAAATAGTAACATTAACACCGATGAAAAAATACATAGAGACCACAGAAAAAAACAAAATTTTTAAAGAAAGATATTATAGCCACAAAATGTCATTCGAAAGAAAAAATACGACCCTATCAAAATACATATGAGACCAAAAAGAAAATAATATCTCTACCAAAATCAAAGTGGAAATTATAAAAACAGCAACTCCATACAATATTAACAGCCAAAATTGTAAATTAGGCTTAGAGGAAAAATTAGCAATAATTAATTAAAAAAAACCAAAAAACAAAATAAACGCTTAAAGAAGAAAAGTGAAAGAATAGGCAAATCTAAGTATATTAATAAATATTTACATTGCCTAAAGACTGAAAATAAACAAATAAATATAAATAAAATAAATGTAAAGTTAAAAAAATATACATAATACAAATTTTAAATAAATAAATAAAAGAAACAAACATAATTAATACCTCAATATATAACATCAAAGGAAAAACAAATACTAAGCGTGAAAAAAATATAAAAATGAAACATATGATAAATGATAACATGATATAGACATACACTTATTTTAATTAGATACACTACTTAATTGCATATACGTGCGTGGGTGCAGCATCAGAGCAGTTGCCATGAAAATATTTTTAGAAAAGACAGAGAGAAGCCATCCCACGTCTGTGAGAAAGTGACTGAAGTCGTGATGCCAAGTCAGGATAAGTTATATTACAGATCATTCTTTGGATTTTTATCAAGAATCTCAAGATGTATAGCAGGAGCACCAGACCAAATATGGCAACAGTATTCGATTCACGAACGAATGGTAGATTTGTAAATGTGCAAGATCAAAAAAAAAAAAAAAAAAAAAAAATGACACCATAAAAGTGGAGGATTTAAAAATTATAACAAAGAAATAAAAAAAAATGTTGCCAATTGATTATGGGTCCTTGCTCTTCAAAGTTAACCGAGGACAAAAGTATGTGCACAGTAACTAAAAAGACTAAAAGAAAAGAAGAAAAGGAGTAGAAAATAAATACCAGTATATGAGCATATATATATATATATATATATATATATATATATATATATATATATATAGTAAATCTAAATAGCCAGACCTACCTAGGTTTTATCTACGTGGATCGTCAATTTAACCTGGCGATCCGCGTAGGTGAAACCTATTAACTTCTGGTTCTTTAGATTTACTCAGTTTGCTCTACTGAGCGTATTGAGCACTTTGATTAGTTATTTTTACTTTACTCGTGTCGGAGGATTTTTTCTTTGGACTCTGAACTTTGATTCTAGATGATTATTTTCGCCGGAAGTACATGTTCTTAGTTCTTTCTTTTTTTTACCCCTTTTTTTCTCTTGGGTATTGGTTTGTTCAAACGCGTAAGGTTTTGCCGGACGAGTATAGCTGCTTATATTTATAAGATTATTAGTATTATATATATATATATATATATATATATTGAACAATAAAAAATATTAAAAAATTAAAATCTTCAGACACACTGGGTTGTAGATTAATATTCTTTCTTTTTTTTTTATTATTATTTCATTTAGATTCCTCGACTAGTTTCGGCCAAAATGGGCTGGTAGCAGTGAACTACAGAAAATATATATATATATATATATATATATATATATATATATATATATATATAGGTAATAAATCCGTTGGTATATAACCCAAGTGGATCCTAGTAATATAAAAATATAGTAAAATTGATCTACAAAAAGTGATGTATAGTATCTATATTATAGAATTTTAGATTTAAATAGAAGTTTACTTTATTACTGTTTCATTATCTAAAGCTTCAAATGTTGAATGTATAACTATTTCTAATTTCCATAGTGCCATTTTTTCACCATATTCATTATATCTTATAATTGTCCCCTGTTCTAACAAATCTCTTTCCTTTTATCACTAACACCTCTTTATCTCTATATTTAAAAATATTTTTTTAGTTTTTTTTAAATATAACTTTGTATGTCTTTTTTCAAATGTAACTTGATTTAACTTATTAAAGTTAAAAATGTATAATTTATTTTATACTTATATTTTTAAATATATTTTTTTATTCTTTAATATACATTTTTAAAAAAGTATATTCTTACTTAAATTTAATATAAATTAACTAAATATGACTTATTTTTAATCTTTTAAATATATCTTATTTCTAAATATAATTTATTTTTTCTTTAAGCAGGAACCTAACCTTTTATATATAGACAAATTTCTTATAAAACTCTCTTTTCAGCCCTCTTTTTGTTTCAAATTAACACCACATTCTTCATATAAAACCAATTTAATGTCATAAGGTTGAGATCCGGGTTTAATTATATAAAACATCTTCCCTTTAAGGCGAATACTTTCCACCCTCCCCTAACATCGCCTCAGGCATTTCGTCTGATTGAAACTTCGAAATGGATAAATTCTGTATCAAGTTTTCGACAGCTGTCAAATTTAAATTACTAATTCCGACACGAACTCAGTTTGTATACCAGGGTTGAATAAGACTGAAGTAGTTTTCGTCGAAAATAGATCTATGAGGTAATTTTGATTTTGTTGTGAAATACTAACTAACTATATATATATATATATATATATATATATATATATATATATATATATATATATATTATTACCATATATGGCAGCAGTATTTCATGCAATGGTGAATTTATAGATTTGAAGGATGGACTCGAGTGAGGAAAACTTTCTGGTGCGACACAGAGAACCGACTTTCCTTGCAGTAGATTAAGCTATTGATTCAATGTATTTGTTCCATCTCATGTCAGTGGACAGCGTGAGACCAAGCAAGCGCAGAGAGACGCTCTCGTGGAGTTGAGCATCAGGCATTCTTATGGGAGGCAGAGAGGGTTCTCTGTGGTGGGTAAAAGAGAGCAGGTTTGTTTTTGAGTCATTAAAGTTAAGCAGCTATTCCTGTGTCAGTCAACAACCGACTGTAAGTCCTTCTCGAGACGAACGGCCAGGTAATTTTTGTCAACGATGCCGGATTTTCTATTGAGGCAGCAGTAAATAATAGTGTCATCTGCATAGATGCCTACTTGAGAACTTATGACATCGGGAAGATCGTTAATGAAGATCAGAAACAGTGTATATATATATATATATATATATATATATATATATATATATATATATATGTATGTATGTATGTATATATATTTATATATTTTATATATATATGTATGTGTGTGTGTGTATAAACCACTAATATTATATATATATATATATATATATATATATATATATATATATATATATATATATATATATATATGTAAATGACAAGCAGATGAGGTTTATCACCAGCAACCGTGAGCATTGCATAAAGGAGTCATTCACATTTGTTGCAAATTGAAAATGATCACTTTCACTCCGACAATGAATTTATGTGTTCTTTTGATAATATCAATCTTTTTGCGTTAAAAGGAGCTATTGACATAGATACTGACGTATTGTATCGGAATCATTTGTCTCCCTCATCCAATTTCGGTGCCTGTCATCACCAGTTTTATGGAATTTGACACTATTTCGGTGGAATTTAATTTTGACGGTTTAATGTACAGAGAAATAGACGGAACTGTCATAAATCGTACTTTGGTGCCCGCGATATTTTTGTTGGATTTTATGAGCAGGATTTGCTTACTCGAATTTAAAATCTTTTATTTTGTATTTTTAACAGTGAGATACAGCCTGAGATTTTCCATGGATTATTCAATGAATTGCATCAATCATTAATGTTTATGCATGAAAAGTAAAACAATACAATTTTGTTTTTTCTTGATGTGCTGGTGTAAAAAATCAAACCTGGTTTCTCTAACTTCTGTTTGCCTAAAGCCGAATTTTTACTGGATTGTATATAAACTGGGTTTTTTTTTCTCCCAAACAATCCAATTGAATTTGATTATGACTTTAGTTCATCGGTCGCTAAATTTCGATTCTAAGAGCAAATGAAATTCGGAAATCGAGTTTATTACGTAGTTTTTGGTGGAAATTGGGTACAATCGAGGTCTCGTGCAATCTAGCATTTGTGCTAAACAAGGCCAAATTGCATGATACAGAAAAGTGTCCCGTCTAATTTCGGTTACCGTGGATTGACGAAGTTAGCACTTGATTTGCTATCTTTCGGTCAATCCACGACTTTTTTCCCTTCTCAAACAATGGGCAGGACCAATTAGGGGTTAGAGATCCGGATAGATCAACAAATGCCAGAAGGCAGTAAGAAAATATGCATGGGATTATGGATACTTCCGGTTCATTTTAAATGTTTTTACTCCAAGCAAGTCAATAAAGCCACTAATAAGAGAGAGAGAGAGAGAGAGGAAGAGAAAGGGGGAGCGAGAGGGGAGAGAGAGATAGAGAGGGGGAGAGAGATGGAGAAGGAGAGAGTGTGAGAGAGAGCTAGGGAGAGAGAGATAAAAGAACAATAATTAACACACAAGGTAAAGACTGATGTTGCATTTAAATGTTTGAAAATCAAATTAGATTAGGAAGCAAGAAATTGGAGAGAGTTTCACAAGCGAGAAGTGCGACAGAGGAAACCTTTAGCATAGAACCTACGGTTACATCTAGCCTTTTCAACTATAAAATGATGAGACTTTGAGGCCAATCTAGTACTCAGGTTAAATTCATAAAGTCTACGTACAACAGAGGAAGATTCAACAGAATAAATACCATGAAAATAGTTTTAGAATAGGAACAGGGAAGCTACATTACAGCAATGGCAAAGTGATTGAAGCCGAGAAGCCAGGTCACTCCAATAACACTGCAGATTCTTCTGAATTATATCAAGAATTTCTGAATATAGAGAAGGAACACCAGACCAGATGTGTCATCAGTATTCAAAGCATTTATGAATGGTAGGCTTATAAATATGTTAGATAGATTATGTAGATAAAAATTATCTAGCATGACACAAGGAAGCAAATTTTCTAGCAAGAAACGCACCAATTGATTCAAAAAGCGTTTAATAATAACAGAAACTCTCACTGGAAAAAAAAACTACCCATGACAAAATTAACTATGAACACGTCCACAATGTACTGGCCATATTCAGTAATTACGAATATATCTATTTTTCAGCTACATATACTTAAATAGAATGGACACCATTATTTTACATTGAGGGTCCCTGTTTTCCATTTTACATAGTGCTCGCTCGGTTTGAGTTCTTGAGCTGTTTATATTAAGTCCCATCAGCCGATCCTATGTAAACAAGAGGAACACTTTCTTCGTTCCTTACGTTTGATCGAGGGATTATGAGTAATATTTTCCATTTTATACTCCTTTTGAAACTTCGTATTTCGTTTTTCGTCGTTAATTTATTTTTTTAATTAAAATCTATTTTAATCGTCTTCCAATTTTCCCTTCTCATTCGTTATTTACTAATGTCTTTGATTTTTTCTTGCTGCTCACGAACGTTCTCCTTTTGAGAAAGTGCTGACCGAAAGGGTCCCCTCAAGGTAAAATAAGGAAAAGTCTTTGTCTATATATATATATATATATATATATATATATATATATATATGTGTGTGTGTGTGTGTGTGTGTGTGTGTGTGTGTGTGTGTGTGTGTGTGTGTGTGAAAAAAGGGGTGTAAGAGTTAATAATTTGTATCAATGTCTTAGTTATATTAGATATCATCTTCCGCTTTAAATTTAGACACCCCAACCTTACGCTGACTTGACCTCTTTGAATGTAACTGAGATATTGATACAAATTATTAACCCTTACGCCCCTTATTTTTTAAATAATTGCTCTAGCCGTTACCATAGTAACTTTAATTTTAATAAGAAATATGCTTATAAAAACTCCTAAATTTCAAGAATAAGTTATTCCAAAAACATTTCGCTTGAAGATGGAACAGAGCTTGGTACTTTAATTCAATTTAATTCAAATAATCATATTGAAGTTTTCGGCTCTTGTTTTGAAACATGAAAACTCTGGTAGCGATGGAATCATAATTTTAAATAAATAATTATATATATATATATATATATATATATATATATATGTGTGTGTGTGTGTGTGTGTGTGTGCAAATCAGTGTTATAAAATACTTACCGGAATCGTTTTCAATTTTGGTGCTGGGGGCGCTGATGCTGCCTGAGCCATTGACGGCATTTTCTTTTTCGTTGCTTGTTAGGGCTGCAGCCCACAGGGCATAGGCTTGTTTCTTTTTACACTCAGCCCTTGTGCGATTGATCCGTTCGTCGTCTCCGCTGTCAGTGTCGTCATTGGCTTCGCTCCCAGTGCCTCCACTGTTTCCATTACGATCGCTCATTACATCTCCTTCTTTTGCCGTGACGGAGCCCGTCAATACGGACTCTGTGAAGAATAGCCGCACCTCTACGACGGTAGTGTTCCCGTCACCAAAGCCTCCATCTCCTCCGCTAATACTGTTATTGACAATTCGTTCGATCTTGTGCAAGACATAGCAAGACCGACCGTGCGGCGTAAGCACATTTAATTGACCAAGCATTTCGATGATATTTGAATATATTTCTACGTGTTTGTCATCGTCTGAAGCCAGCCTGGAATGGTGGCCGGTTTTGCCAGTCTTTAGATCCGGAAATGGTCCAGGGCCGGAGTCGGAATTGTAGCGAGACAGAAATTCAGCAGTCAGGACCCTGGGCAAAGGCATCGCCAAACTGAAAAACAGCAGCCCTAGAGTGAAACTGGACGGTGGTACCATTGCTCTGCTGAGTAGTATGTCAAAATGAAGTTTCAGATCTGAAGAAGAATACAAAGAAAACAGTGTATTATAATGAGAATCATCATGATGATTATATATATATCTATATATATTGACGAGAAGAATATATATATATATAACACTGATATATTTACTTTCAACATAATTTATACTGTCACAATAAAAACTATGATAACACAATTACACACACACACACACACACACACACACACACACACACACACACACACACACACACATATATATATATATATATAATTATATATATATATATACATAATACATAAAAGGTTAATGGTTAGAGTTGAATCAGACTAGGAAACAGCAGTATTAAAAAGTGCTCAACACACGTGTGAAAAACCAAAAGAAAAATAACATGTAGAGCTTTTAACTTAAAAAAAAACAGGAGGTCAGTTGAATCCGCTACCCTGGTTTCAACCTTACGGTCTCCTCAGGCGATTTTTATCACATGACCTCTTAACGCTTTATTTTTTTTTAATAAAAACTAAAGAAAGCTACATTCATGTTTTCAAAGATAAACAAACGCATTAAGATGTGTGAAATAGAAAGGGAGGAGGAGGAGGATGTGAAGAAGAAGAAGAAGAAGAAGAAGAAGAAGAAGAAGAAGAAGAAGAAAAAGAAGAAGAAAAGCAAGTGTATTGTTAATGCATCGGTGGAGGGGGGGGTAATTACTTTTTTCCCCGCCTCATATGTACTTAAGAAAAATCAGTTTACCGTCTGATTTTTAAAGTTAAAAGCTCTACAAGTTCTATATATATATATATATATATATATATATATATATATATATATATATATATATATAAAAAAAACATCAATACAATAGTCTTTTATTTCTGTTTTAATAAAAAAAAGTTTCGATCTAGTCTTATACATTTTGCAGAAATTCATTTATATTTGACATACGCAAAATTTTAATTTGGAACCCTGTCTCAGAGCATTTTTTATTTTATTAAAAAGCTTTCTCGGGTGCACAGGCACGTAGGCGTAATATTAAAAAACAAACAAAAAAAAAACAGACACGAATTTCCACTAAAATAGTAATAAAAATGTCGGATTGAAAATAAATGCAGTAATTCTTTGGAAATTGGTTTGTTTACGAAATCGAGTCGATATGGGCTTTGAGAGAATCGGGACGTGAGGATTATGGATTATTTGATAGGGGTTAAAGAGAATCTTGCTGGTTGTGACCCGATCTTTGGCCGAGCGATATCAGGAGCACCTGATCAAACGGTGGCTTCACCTACAAAGAGGGACACAACTACATTTTATTTATTATGTTTTTTGGGTGCGTGGGTCGGTACACTAAATAAAGTTTAAAAAATATCCCCCCCCTAAAAAAGAAAAGAAAAGAAAAGAAAAGAAAAGAAAGAAGCGTTGTGCCTGTTTCAGATCCACTTTTTTCCGCTACGAGTACAGTCCATCCACCGGGGTTGAATAAGACCAACGGACTTAGGCTTGGTTGAAATAGGTTTATATCCAAATGAGGTAATTTTAGATTTTTTTGCTGCGTAAATGATATGCTCTGTTATAATAAATACAATGAGCACTATTTGTTGATTAGTTTTAATATTATATTAGCATCCACCTGGATCATATACTAACGAAACTAATACCTATACTATGTGTGTGTGTGTGCGTGCGCGCGCGCGTGCGCTTGTGTGTATAAGCACTGTGAACCTCAAATGGTGAGAACCCCTTTCATGCTTGAATACAATATTTGGCCTGAAGATTGCGTTAAATCATGAAACAGACTGTCACCATTCGTTGTTGAACACTCTATCCACTTTGCTTATAGTCACATTTCTACCTGAGAAATATAGCATAAAACTTAAAACTATATTTTATCATATATATATATATATATATATATACAGTATATATATATATATATACATCCAAAACTAAGGGACAAAATTTTAAAACCTAATATTTGTTAGAAATAACAACTGTGAAAAGCTGAAATTTTGACAACTGGTAGTCGTTATCATCCATAATAACATACTAAAATTTGAATCATTTGCAAATGAGTGAATTTGAGTCCCAAAATTCTGAAAAAAATGCACATGAAAAAAGAAGTATAGCAAAATCAAAACTGCAATCAAATTAGTAACATCTTTAAACTTATCTACCAGCCAAGCAACGTTTTTCAGCAGTTATCTTAAGAAGGAATTGACTTTAAGACACATTCACAATCCGGTATTTACAAATCCACTATCTATAGCTGTTACATTTAAAGAAGAAAAGATGAAAATACTACACTTAGAAAATTGCTCATTGCATTTTGATGGTAAACGAATTGATGACCAAGAATATGAAGTAATTCTTTTGAAGAATGAAAGAAGATAAGCATTAAATCTACCAAATTGTCAACAGTTGTTCTGGTGAATACAATTTATGGAAAAGAATGATTGTTGCGGACACTATGAATGTGAACACTGGAATCAGGAATGAGAGTGTTATTTAGTTACAAAGACTATTTGCTGAAAATAAATTGGAAGAAACATAATTGGAAGAACTGTTAGCATCATTTTCCTGGTGTTTCGCGTAGTAATGGATGACGAACTTGGAGGAAACAACACATCACCCAATATCGAATATCTGTTTATCCGTGAACTTCTAAATAACAGTTCAAGAAGAATTTCAAGAATGGTAAAGAAGAGATTACTGAAGAAGATATTACTAAAACAGGAGGATGTCGTGAGGATTTGAAATTTCTATTTAACTCGAGTTTTCCCCTTTTTCGAAGAAGCAAAAAGATTTCCTAAAGTGAATTTAAAAAGATACCTAACTCAAGTAATGAAAGATGGAATTCTTGAGCAATACTAACTCTTTTGGTATTTATTCTTCTATACCATTACATCGTGATAAAATTGAAAAATAAAGCTTCTAAAATATTTTAATTTTTTACCCTTATTGCGTATATGTTAAAATCGAATTTTCAGTGTAGGTGACCGTTTTCAAATTAAATCATTTTTCATTACTTTTTGAGCAAGAATTTAATCGATTTATGACACATAACTTAGTTTGCAAAAAAGTCATAAATCTAATATATATATATATATATATATATTAGATTTATGACTTTATATATATATATATATATATATATATATATATATATATATATATATATATATATATATGTTCTTGAGGACCTCTTTCCAGAAATTCTCAAAATAGATAAGCCAAAACGTCACTGAGAGGAGACCACCTATCGGCAAACTAAATTTTGTCTATAAAAATTGTTATCGAAAGTGAAAGAAATTGATTGGGGATTAAATGGAACATTTTTAGACTTAATGTGTAGTAATAGGTAGTTTTATTTTTGTTTTAATTTAGTGTGTTGTTAGTAAATTTAGACATTTCTTTACAAGAATATTTGGGTATAAAGATTTTATATCCAAACTAGTCATCTATTTGTTTTTGTTGTCTATGTTTTTTTAATTTATTTAGAAGATTGCCAGAGTTTTTTTTCTTTTTAGCAAGAAGCTAATTATACCAAGAAGTGGGATTAAAATTTTGTTTAGTTTACCGACTAGTTGATGGTCGGGGGCGCTACTTATTCCTGATATAATGGATCTCATCAAGATGTCTGGTTTATGTATTTTTGCTAATCCGTAAAGTGAGTGTTTTCGGGTGGTTTTGGATGAGTTTTAGCCAGGAATTGTCTTCATTTTTCGTTTTTAAATTTGTGTGTCTCTTTTATGACCTTATGTTCTAGTTTTTTTTTTGTATTCATTTTGTATGTGTTTCATTTTGTAGATAAATGTGTTTCTCCTTAATCCTAATTCTACTGCGTTTGCCGGAAAGCGTTATATGACTGTTTTGTTTGATATTTCTTTCAGGGCTGTTATATAACATTGTTTTTTTTGAGTGTGGATATAATTAGACCCTGGATGTATACTTTGTTGAAATCTTAGTCACTGTGTTGGTGGATTTTAATCATGTAATCCATAATGTCGTTTTTAAGCAATCCGGTGGCAAATTAAAGAAATTACACTTGTGTATCCGACGGTTTGAATTTGGATAAATTTGTCATTAAGTCGACTTTAGACCATTTGATTGTAGAAAACAACGTATTTATTTTAGTTTGTAAGTAACGGACTTGCTTATTGTTACTGTAACTGATCGAGTTTCTTAATTTCCACACCCGTTCGTGTTTATGAAGATCATTGCTTATTTTGCGTGCCTTATCAAAAAGTGTTGCCTTTTTTTCTACTAATTCATGTGCAGAGGATATTAAGAATTCGTGTGCATAGAGAGGAAATATATGGTAAGAGTTTTCGATTAGTTTATGTGAACATAGAGAAGTAATATTTTTTTTAATGCAATTTTAAGAATGTTTCTTTTTTTTTCCATAGGAATGTGCAGATATTAATAATTCTTTGTATTTTGTAGCTAAGTGTATGTGCAAGTTTTTGTTTTCCATGTGGACAATGTGTAAAAATTCCAAATAGAGTATGTCTGTAAAGAGACAATATGAATAAAAGCAGAAGGAAAACTTAGCTTAGCCAACTCGTTTCGTCCTCTGAGGGACTTTATCAAGGCGAGGATTTTATTTGTAACAAGTATTTTTATAAAACAGCAAAAATGTTATTGGTTTTTCGTTTTTGCGCTGGCATATAAATACGAGTGAAGGTAGGGCGGAGTAATCAAAGAGCCGAGTTCGAATTCCAGTCGAATCCATTACATTCACTTACGTGCTAATATCCTTGGGAGAGGTATGAATCCTATTCTCCCCCTTCCAGCTATGGGTAAATAGCAGAACAGACCGGGTTCTATAGCCTTGGATGGCAACTGATCTACCGCAGAAAGAAATGGCAACCTACTGCGGGGGAAAAAAACCTGCCTCATCAGTCATGCATCGAAATACCAAATCTGTCCGATTCTTTACAAGGATTTAT